AATTTGATCTAATTGATGCAATTTACCACAATAATGCAATTTCACCATAATTGATGCAATTTACCAAAATTATGCAATTTGACCCAATCCTCTCAATTATGCAAGACAGCAAGTGGACCCCACTTCACTTAATGTGCCAAATCAAGGCTTGAGCACTATAATCATCTTAAAAGGCTGCTGTCACAGTTCTCTACTTACTGCTACTGTTCTCTACCAATTCTCTCCGGCTTGGAAAAACTCGGCTCCGATGAGTTAAAGGGATGAAATTGCTCATAAGTGTGAAAAGAGCAAGAAAATTTCAGCCTTATATTCAGCAATTTCCATAATTTGCACCAAAAACAACACATAAACTTCAGAACTTGATCAGAAACAATAGTGTTGTGCAACCTATAAAGTCGGACTTCTTAAAAAAAAGGGTTGGCATTGTGGACAACATTGGAGGTCTTAGAACATAGAAGGAAATGTGCCTTTTTCGAAAAACGATCCAGAACAATGATTATAGCATCATGTCCTTGACTAGTTCTAGGCAAGTTGTTGGATGTTTGAACCAGCTTCTGTTGCTTCTTGGCACAAGCATGCTCCCATTTCTTTGGGGTGCCCACTAATATACACCAAGTATCTACTCCAAAAGCCGCATCTTTTGGCTGATTCAGAGTAGAAGTACTATCTATCCAAGTCACTTTGAATGGTTGTGGATGTGGTTCGATCGAAGGCATGAGACACTCAACTGTAGCTGCGGACACAACATTCATGCAACTTCCGCCATCAATAATGAGCTTTTGAGCTTCGTTTCCACAACGAACTTGCATCTGAAAATTAGATGTCTGCTGCCCATCTTCGCCACCAACTTTAGGGTCTTCAAGGATGCGGGTCACAACGGAGATGGAGGAAACATTCTCTCCAACTTCTTTCAGATGATCAGTGTTGCAAGTCTCATCATCTCATCATCAAGCAGGTTCACGTGATCCTTGCCAGCCATTGTACTCTTTCCTTCAGAATGAGCCATGCTATAGAAAGATGTGTTTGATCCACCATTTGGCAACATTGTTGTTGTCGGTGTGCTGCACATTCCATCACTTGACTTCTTTGGAATATCTCCAGCAGCATCATGTGGTTCATGATGATTAACTTCTAATGGATTTCTTGGAAACTCCAACATGGGAGGTAGTGGTGGATCGGCCTTCAAATTACACATTTGCTGAGAGTTTAAAGGCTGTTGTTGCACCTGTTTTCTGTCATCATTAGTGCCGAATGCAGTTTCTTGTTTAAGGGCTACCAGTTTGTTAGAAGGCTGCGAAAACCGGGCTCCTATGTCACTGCATCGAGTATTCAGCCCTTTAAGTTGTTCCAAAATCTGTGACAGCAACTCAATCTCTTGATGATTATCCAATCTTTTGTTTCCGGGTCGTGTAAACATAATGTCTACTTAGGCTTTGATACCAAAAATTGATGTAGGACAAGAACAGACTCAAATAGAAGAAAGCAAATAAGAATTTTGGGCTCTAAGTCAAATGAACAGGATTGGGGTTCAAGCTCTTAGTTGAGAGAAAGGACTAAAAACAAGAAAAACCTATTGGAATCGCACCAATAGGGTCTAGGCATCACACCTAGGGAAGGCCTCACACCCTCATATCTTGTGAATCACTCACAAAGGAATTTCATAATACTTTTTTATTCATTCATTGACTGAGTAATCATAGTTACATAGTATCATTTTTATAACAACTGATGACCCTTGGATTACCCTACAATTGAGGTAATCAAAAGTTGACTCTAGCATAATAAAAGTAACAAATAACTTAATTGATGCAATTTACCACAATAATGCAATTTCACCATAATTGATGCAATTTACCAAAATTATGCAATTTGACCCAATCCTCTCAATTATGCAAGACTGCAAGTGGACCCCACTTCACTTAACATGTGCCAAATCAAGGCTTGAGCACTAGAATCATCTTTCCCACTACCTTTATACATTTTAAAAGGCTGTTGTCACTGTCCTCTACTTGGTGCCACTGTTCTCTACCATTGACTAATTTAAAACCATTTCTGTTTGCACCTAAAAGCTAAGTATGAGCAGTCCTATATTTTAGGTGACCGCCATATTGCACCCAACAAATTAGTCAGTATAGTTGATGACTGAAGTTTTAGGAAGCTAACACTGAAATATTTGATTTTGTAAAAGCTTGAGCTCGTTATGAACTCGAGATTGGGCTCGAGCAAGACAACACTCTTTAAAGAAAAAATAGGCAAGATAGATTTACTAAAAAATTAAAATATAGTATAAAATAAAAGAGGCATATTTCTCAATTCCAAAACACAAAAAAACACTGGGAATGGGAAATATGCTTCTTTTATTTTTATATTATATTTTAATCTTTTAATAAATGACGTAAGCGGAAGCGATAAATTTGTTCACAAGGAACGGTTTACTTTGAATCCACAAAGTATGGTGTTTTGGATCCACAAAACAAAAGATAATTTCAGATAAATCTGATATTTGTATTGATAATTGAATAAATAAAAGTTAATTATGCTCTTTGCAATATACATATTTATAATAAATAAATCCTAACACTAGAAGGAAACTAAAAACATAAAGTAACCTAATAGTCTATGGAAAATAACACTAAAAATAAGCTTAAAGATAAATTTACTCTAAAAATTCTGAAAAAATAGAACAAGAAACCTAATAAACAAAAAATACTAAATCTAAAATTTGAGAGCAATCAGACTTCGTTTAGACCTCAAACAAAAATCCGAAAATAATCAATAAGCCTCTTTTAACATAATAAAACGCGATTTCGGAGCCCTAAACGAAGGTTTTCAGCCAAAAAACCAACATAGCCCACAAGCTAAAGCTAGTGGGTTTTTCTCAATGCATCGTTTCCACCCAAAAAACACTCCAACCAGGTCAAAAATAGACCTGTCAAATTGTTCACAATTCTGTCCAACATCAGTCCCCTCTGCTTAAAAAAAAACTCATCCTCGATTTTGGCTGCAAATAACATGAAGTATTGCCTACCATAAAATCATACTGTTCATTACCATTAGAACCTCCAAAACACAACACAAAAAGGTCTCCATTAATGGCTTCTTCCTGAATAAAAATTTCTTCACTTGCAATCTGCTCAAATAATGATCCTTCGCCAATTTGAAGCCTGAATTCATCAAAACCATCTTCTTCTTTTGCCACGTTAAATTCCTTAACTGCATCAACTTCAACAACAAGGGGTAAAGCAACAAAATTCTTCTCATGATTAATCTCATAGTAAGGTGGAAGAAACTGGGCTTGCAAAAGACGTTTCATCTTCAACCAAGATCGTACCGGCGTTTTTCTTTGTCGTGCACGAGAAACTCGCAACTGTTCCCACCAATTAAAAGCTATTCCTTCCAATTTGTATGCAACTAGCGCCACCTTATTTTCCTCTTTAATTTTCATGTAATCAAATAACCTCTCAAATCTTCTAGCCAATCAAGAAAATCTTCAACATGAAAGAGACCATCAAAACTTGGAGAAAAATTCCTAGGATCATAATCCCCATGATGAGATATCGCGTGTCTCTATGACCCCCAAACCCGTCTTCAACGTAAATACTCCAACCGTGTCAAAAATGGACCTGTCAAACTATTTGTCGAACTGTTCAGAATTATGTCCTACATCAATAAACCTATCTTACCTACCAAAATAAAATAAAAAGAAAAGGAAAAAAAATGTAGCCTTGCCGAGCCCAAACTCGAGCTCAAGCTTGAGCTCGAGATCAGCTTGTTTAATTAAATGAGATACCAAGCCGAACTCCATCTTCCTTAATAATGGACGAGCTGAGCTCGAACACTCGGTTAGAAGCTCGAATAGAGCTTGAGCCGAGCTCAAGCACTATTGTTCCAATATCGAGCTGAGCTCAAACAACTCTCTACTCGGCTTGGCTCGGACCATTTGCAGCCCTACATACATCAACCCTCCCTAGACACTGTACTGACAATAGTCTCATGCCACTAGCCTTTTTTGGTTTACCTATTTCCTTATGTAGTTACGTGTACCTTAAAATTTAGTTTCTAGCAAATTAATTTTCATAGTAGCCTTCAATAGTGTTAGTTTTAATGTATATATTCATTGCTGCACTTATCTATCAACTAACCATTAGAATTTGAAGTCCTCCTCATTGAGGCATGAGATCCCCCCTACCTGTTCATAAGGTCAATTTCTGAAACCATTTCAACCAACAATCCAAGTGAAAATTCATTTAGTTGTGACCTCAGTCTGGAAGGACTTCGGCACAACTACACAAGCAAAAATAATTTTTTCACGTCCAGTGGGACTCAGTAAAATTTAAAGCCCTCTTCATTGAGATTCAGTGGGGATCTTCCCTAGCTTTTCACAATCTTCTCCTAATTTCCCAAACCAAATTTGATGGTTGACCCAAGGGCTGGTCAGTGACACTGAGTCTGGGAGGACTCTAGAAAACATACGCATAACCGCCAAAAAGTTTCCTATCAACTAAGCAGCAAACATTTCATTGGCTGCATTAAACTCTGCACTATTCAACAGTATACCCTCTTTGACAACAAAATACAAGTCATTCATGAAACTTCCAATCCCAATATTGATTTAATTCACAAGTTACTCTAGAAAGGATCTAAGCTCACTGAGAAACAAGATCGAACATATTGCCTGCCAAGATTACCCATCCAAAATCAATTGTGAAAACAACTTCATCTTAACATCAGATTCAATTCAATTCAAGTCAAACCTTAACAAAACAGTCTCATCACCATGGGCTTCAACGCCATAAACAACCAGAGTCACTATGGAAAGAACCAATCAAGTGGCAACAATCATCACCTCTAAAAACCCATCAAGGATTTGGGTAATATATGGTCTTAAGTAGTAAAAAGTGTAAACAGCAAACACCCACCAAAACAAATTATACACCTATGCATATATAAACAGACAAATATGTTCGCATATATAAAAATACAAAGAAATGAAAACGTACAAGATGATGGAGAGGAGGGATAAGGAGATGGCAAGATAATCGGTGGGACAGCCTCCTTCCAAGGCACAGCTGGCCATTGCAGTTGAACTCTCTCCAATGTCCATCAATGTGTGTGTCTAGACTCTATATGTGTATGTAACGGAGGCGATTAAAGCAGTGAAAGAGAAAAGTCTTTGTTATTGAAATTTGGGAATAAACTCCGTTCCCGATCAAGTCCAAGGAGTCCATTTCCGCGCGATGCTTATTTGATCAGAGAGAAACATTCGGGTCAAATCTAGTGTGCAACCACACAGTACATCGTGCGTCATTACTCTGAAAACATGAAAAAGAAAAAGAAAAAGGTGTCCCTCTAATTTTTCAAAAGAAAGATAAATGTATATTTTAATTAAAAAAATTCTCCAACCAAGACATGTGATTAAGTCACGTCAAAATGAAAGTGACAAAATTAAATTATAAATCGTTAAAATTTGAATGATAATGAAAATGCGCTCCAAATACGAGAGAGACACTTATTAAGAAAAATTATATGACTAGGATGAAAATATCCTTATTCATTTCAAAATAGGTAAGTATTTTAATTGCTAATGACAGTCATTAATAACTTCACATATTTTTGTTGTCACGGGAGACTTTGCAGTGTAATGACATTCCTTTATCACCCAAAATATATTATGAGTTTGAATTTTTAAATAAGTAAATGAGTGCCTGAGTGATGTGTGTGTTCTTTTTGTCAATTAAAAAATAAATATAAATTGTGTTTGTTGTTCGAAATCTTTTGCAAATAAAAAAATTAAAAAATTGTTTTTGTTGTCGGCAATTGTATACTTTTCGAAATAAATGTCTTTTGAAAAAGTGAGTGTCTAGAGAGAGAGAGAGAGAGGTGTAGATTGTTATAATTCTATAAATTACCTATTTTTTTAATTACACGTAATTTTTTTTAAATATGAGAATTATACCCTCAAAATCACAAATTTTATATTCTCATATATATATATAAATTGAACTATCACATTTGAGTAACCAAAATAATTTTATTTTAGAACATTTTGATATGTTTTTTTTCCATATAATCCTTGCTTTACGGAGTTTTTCATACTCAAAACATGTTAACTTAAAAGGAAAGCTCATAACAATTGTCATGAGTTGCACCTCATGACACCTTGCTTAAAGGATAAAAATTTTCTATGTTTTCTTTATGTTTTGAAAACTTTTTCAAAAATATGTTTGGTTTATTTTTCTTTTTTTCCTTTTCTATATTTGGTTTGGTTTAACCTTATAAGCAACTTTTAAGAAATTTTAAATGGTAAAAAACTTTCTAGCCAACTACACTACAAAAATGAAGATTACGTCTTTTTTGAGGTGAAAATTGTCTTGTAAATGAGTTCTTCTCAAATCTCAAACTATTTATGTTTTTCAACTTTATATATTAAAAAATTATTTTGAAAATTGAACGTCCACTAATATTTTTTTAACTTCAAATAATAAGTTTCCTGAGCAGCAAAACTTTTTAGTTGCTTAGCAATAAGATTCAATTATAGGAAGAACATTTAAGTTGTGTGTGACAGCATGGACTTGGAATTGAAATTGAAGAAAATTTTGATTCAATTTTATAAGTTTTTTTTTTACCAATTCCAAAGCTCCAAATCCAAACATAGCATTAGAGTTTCATAATCCTTGTAGTTGTTTATTTAAAAATATATATATAAAGTTGAAGATTCAAGTATCCGTCGGGACAAAATTTAAAAGAAAATACCGGGAAAAACATGTATTATCATCAGTGTCCTGATATGCAAGGTCCAGGTGTATTATTGTAAATTTGTAACTATACTTTGCAATAAAGATCATGAACTTTTAACCCACTAAGATTAACATTAATTAAAATTACTCGTTCAACTCCAAAATAAAAGGTCCACGGTTTAAATCTCCATTCATGTAACTCCAAAATAAAAAGGTCCGGGGTTTAAATCGCATAATAGTGTGATTTTCCTGCCTAGAATATATATCACATTTCCCAAATTCATAGCCAATGATTTACTATTTTGTTCATGATTTTTAGGAATACTATTATACTAATGAAGCCATGATTAGTAGTCTACTTTGGTCAGAGGCGTAATTATCAAGTCTCACGAGACTCAAAAGACTTTAGTCCCATAAAATACTTAACAAAACTCATAAGATTTATTTCACAATATTTATCCAAATAATATCTAAAAAATACATATGTATTCATATCAATTCTGCTAGTACCATAATGAAAAGCAGAACATTAGCATTGGAAACAAAATTCAGAAACAAATACACATAACAAAGCCTTGAAAAACAATATAAAAGTTGTCAACTTATATAAAACAGTAAATCTGGGACTCCAATATTACAAAAGTCACAGAAAACTCGAGAGCTTTGGTCAGGCTTGTGGTCACATTGGTTCAAATGTGAACTTAAGTGGGTTAGTATTGGTTTGGGTTGGGTCATCTCCAGCCGAGGATTGCATTACATCTCTGCACTACGCACATTCAAGATAATATTGATTTCAACATCATCATCTAGATAATGAATATATATATATATATATATATATTGGCTCCATTCATGAATCTGCAGTGAGCACCAAGCACAAATTCCATCAATTTTCACCGCATTCCTCAATCGTGGACTCGTGGAATTTTATGTATGTTGCAGTAACAGCAAGACATCTTGCATTTGCTGGTGCATGCTGCTCATTCAAATAAATATACAGTTGTCAATCCACAAGTTCATCAAGAATCAAGAAAACAATAACATCACTATAAAGTATAAACTAACAGTAACTACAAAATGGTAACGTGGAGATCGATCCCTATTCGATGTAATTTTTCATTCTAAGAGCTGGTCAAAAAAATTTCTTTATCAGCATTATCATCCTTGCCTTTATCTCGTGTGGATGGGGTTGGCTACAACAGGTCAAACTAGAGAATAAAAATCGTCTGATCAAAACAGCTATCGAATGCACCTATGAGTTTGCTTAGGTTGTAGCTGAGGAGCATGGTTTTGTAGGAAAGGGCATTGATGAATTCTGATTGCATGCACTCTCTATTTGGAATTGCAATGAACTAAAGGAAAAACGAACCATCAGCTGTTTCATGGACTCGAGGATTTATGATTAATGGAAGGGGATCATCGGCAGAATCTACCTTGCTTAAGGCCAGAGAGACCACAAACACTAGCGTAGAGATTAATGCCAATGACTTCATCTTGATAGAGAGCGATAATTTCATTCCTCTGGCAGCTTTGTTTCATGAAGTAAAAAAAAAATTGACGTAGTTCAGAAATGATTCAATGAAGGGGTAGTCTCTGTCTAGTAAACCCCACCCCGAATCCTTTAAGTGCCAACGCAATATTTTCTCAACAGTTAGAATGGACATATTAGAATATGTTGAGATGCTTGACAAACAATCCATATTTTAAGGTTGGTATGCTCAGGAAATTCAGTTGGAGTTAGTGCAGGATTTAGCTTCATCTAACTTGCAATGCTAATGAAAATAAGGGATCAAAATTCTTGTATATATGTTTACCAATTCATAATCGTATTAGTGATTGACAAAATACGTGTCTATACCGCATTAGTCTAGGATTACATACTCTATTTTGATGATTTTGATGTGTAGCTCCATACAACCCCTCCAACAAGATTATTTGCTGCATGAGAAACCATAGGAACAATGATGCTTGAGGATACAATTGTCGCATAAGCATAAGCAAATCCAACAAATGTTGCCCTGAAAATAGATTCATCAATTAATTGTTAACCAAAAAATAAAAAAGAGAGATTAAAATATTAATATTAGATGTTCTAAGGGTTATTAAATAAATTCTAAAATACTTTTACATAGGGGTGGTTGTTTGGTGCAAATGGTACAAGTTCAGGCTGATGCAGACAGCATCTTTCTACTAATGCAGAAGGTAGGTTATCTTAAATCACCTACTCCCCACACCCCACATAGGTGGGACATACCCTGTGCAATGCACTTTTTAAGCATTCATACATCTACATGTTCTGAAACAAAGTTAACCAAAATATTATTGACTTCCATGACTGGCTACTTTACATGAATTCTTCTGGGGTTGCGCTGAGAAGACTACATCTGAAAGCGGGACCACACGGAAGTGCATTTGGAAACAAATGGATTTCAAACAATATTATGGCATGACATAGAAGCTCCTCAATGCCTTAATATTTGAATTAAAAATTTCCTGCATTTAGTAAAAGTTTCTCTATTAAGTCAATGAAGAAGAGTACCAGATCGCAAAGGAAGTTTTTCGGCCATTTCCCAGATGCAAAACACCAAAAAGAGCAGCAACTACCAAGGCACCTTTCCAATCGAGTCCAAAAAGTGGTAATAATGCACCACGAAAAAGGAGTTCCTAATCAACCATCACATCCATGTCAGAATGTAATATTATTATTTTTTTCGTTCTTCTCTCTACCAGTCAAAACCTTGACCTGGAACTTGAGAGTTAAGACCCAAAGCCACCAGTCAGAAAAGAAAAGAAACAAAAATAAGCGGGGTGGGGGAAGCAAAAGAAGCTAGGACAACATAAGAAAAGGAAAATAAACAAATTTATGCTTACTTCACTAACTCCAGGCAGAAATGCTACAACCATATAATCCAGAGGTTGTAATGGAGTAAGGATCTGAATCACAGAAAAATAAATAAAAATGAGAACAGCACAGAAGATAAGTAAAGAAACCAGGGAACAACAGAGACTTGCAGCCATATGGATGGTAAGCAAACAAGCAGATGTAAGTATCGTCCTGACTGAATGAACCTAAATATTCTGTAATGTTCACCAAAACAACCATCTTATGAATTTAATAACTTTTATCATAGAAAAGACACTAAATCGTAAACAACAAACTTGTACGAGTTCTTTCCATCTTTCCCTTTTTTCCCTTTTAGGTTTGGGCATAAAGTCGAGTAGAGCTACCTGTTGATTAGCAGCCTCACTAGACTCTGAGAAATCTGGCCATGTCTTCAATAGTAAGTACCGGCATGATGATATCAGTATAACTAATCCTGTAATCAACTGAAGATGCCACATCTCAAAACTAACTGTATGCACACACAAACAGACACAAATGGTCTCTTTAGAGAAATGAGACGGATTTCATCAACATAATGAGAAGAATAAAGGAAAATTAAGTAGCCAATTTACACACTTATTTTCTATTATGCTATACCTAAGGCCATTTTTTCATATTGTAGATAGCACACATGGATGACAAGATAGGAAGTCAGACAAAATGGCTTTATCACACGCAATAGAGATCAACAACTGCATAGACCGTGGAGTACGAATGAGCAATGGCATAACTAGGGCAAAGAGCTCTCTTCTTGGCTTGTGTAACTTAAGTGGCTAGCAGAAAACAGCTAGAGGGTACTCATCATCAATGCTTTGCAGTGATGTGAATGATGAGACAGCTAGCAACTTGATTGTATTCTTCTCAAAATCCAATGAAAATGAACCATCCAATTAAGTAGGTACAACTTTAAAACAAATGAATAATACTACATAAGATAGATGTGCCGATTTAGTGTGTATATATGATATACAGAGAAATAATTTGTATATAATTTTATTCGCACTCATTTTTTTGATAAATACACCTTCTTCCTTAATGTAAATGATAAAAATACCCTAATACTTGATCCTCTAATTCATTAGTTATGTTATTTGCATAAAATAAAGGAGTATATGTTTCTCTAATCCAAAGTCAACAAGTATTAAAACAACCAATTTGTGTAAAAGAATACGAGAACTGGAGTTATATAATATACATGATACTTCCTTTGAGCAGTCAAGGATTGGTAATCCTTCCATTGATGCAGTGTGAGAAACCTGCAAGTATCAATCAGGACATAAACAATTAAAATGAATATTATCAGCAGCAAAATTTTATACAGGAATTCTTGGTTTTGCTCTTATTGCATACAAGAAATAATAACATAACAGGGTGATAAGTCAGAACTAGAAACTAGAACTGGGCCTTCAAGGAAAACATTTCATTCATGCTTCACTTTCTTGCGACTGCAGAGAAGCACCTACCCCCTCTCCTTTCCCGTGACAAAAGAAACAAAAAATAAAAAAAATAAAAATAAGTAATAAGTACATTATGTATTTGATATGTAAGAATATGAGAAAGAGGGATGATTTGTTGTTTTATAATGTAATTTATTTTAAATTAGGGTGACAACAATTGACTCAAGTTAAGTAACAGCAAGCTTGGATCATAATTGCATAGGCTTAACATAACAACATACATATAATGAAAATAAAGGGAGGACATGATTTGCACAGACAATCAAAAATCAGAAGGACAAAGGCTTAAACATGAAAAGGTGGACATTCATTTTCCAATAGAACCAACTCTTTGCAAAATACAGAAAATAATGCATACCTGTCGGATGGTAACACCTAAAGCAGTTATCAATCCAGAAGTGACAGTGCATGCCTGAAGCACAGCACTCCTGGATGGGATGGTTATTGAACTCTGCCCATCCAAATTCTCAACAGAGGACATCTTATTGTCGTCCTGAGCATAATCATCTCCAGAGGGAGACCCACCTTCCAGTCTATTAGGCGGTGGATTTGCATTTTTTCGTGCTTCACTTCGTCTTTTCAATTTCTTAACTGAATTCCTACTTGCAAAAGCCCTTACTTTAGCTCCAAATCCCTACATAAAGAAGAATGAAAGAAAAGGAAGAGAGAGAGAGAGAGAGAGAGAGAGTTAGTCCTAGAAGCAACAAGATATAATACGAGAAGTTGATTTTGTTTGGTGGGAAGACAATGAAATTTAAAACTCACACTGCATAACTTAGTGACTACGAACTTTGGAGAATCATATGGGCCACTAAACTTCCTACCTAATCAAATGAGATGACTTTTGTACAGTCAAAACACATAGCAGACTATAACAAACAATTACTTAAACATTGCAAAAAAGATAAAAACATAAAATCAAAATCAATAAGCAATAGGTTTTCTAAGCGTGGAAAACGGGTACAATGTAACTTTTGTTCAGCAGAAGACCCAATCCAGGAAATAAGCAACAACGGAATTACCAATAATGTAATGCAAGGTTATCATGAGCCATCAATGGAAAGAAGTGCAGCAAATTGCTACATACACCCAACTGAGAAAATGCACCAATTTATGCCAATATTCATAATAGCCATATTATCTATTAAGCATTAGAAAGAGTACCTAGAGAAAGCTTATAATAGAGTACCTTAATATCTAATATAGAGAGTTTTAAGAAAGAAAAGAGTCGTATAGATAAAGGATATTGACATGATAAAGGATATGTACGATGAATTAGACTGATTGGAAGGAAACAAGTGAATCTCCAAATCTTGTAAGCTTATTTGAAGTGTTAGCATTAAACCCATACGTTTTTACTTTAATTATAGATGAACTGACGAGATGTATCCAGGATGAGATTCAATGGTATATGTTATTTGCTGATGAGATTGTTTTAATTAATGAAACTAGAGAAGGAGTAAGTGTTAAATTAAAGGCTTGAGAGGGAACTCTAGATTTAAAAGGATTTAAGTTAAGTATGAATAAATCAACATATGAAATGTATCTTTAGTAAATCTAAAAATACAAATAGGGATGCAGATTAAAGATCAAGAGATATCAAAAGGTGAACATTTTCACTAGTTAGTCTGAAATAGGAGCACTCGCCCATTGAAACATTGTCTTGAGTGCGTCTGAAATATTGTGAGATCAGCGTCTCTCTCTAAAGATATAAAGGAAAGTTCTATAAAACAATTATTAGACCCAGCAATTCTTTATTGAACATAATGTTGGGCAGCTAAGACAACACAAGCACAAAGTAAGAGTGATGGAAATGCAAATATTAAGATGAATGTGTGGCAAGACAAGACATGATAGAATTAGAAATATCCACAATCCTGTGATGGTTGGAGTAACACCAATTTTATATAAAATAAGAGAAATTTGATTAAGATGGTTTGGACATGTAAAAAGAAAACCATTAAATGCATCAGTTAGAACAGAGAATCGGTACCCATTGAAGATAATGTTAAGGAAAGTTGTTGTCATTATCATCATCATCATCATCATTACCTTGCTCCCATATGAACGGGGTTAGCCACATGAATTCTCTAGTCTCTATCTTTTCTACTACATGCCATTTCGCCTACTATATTTAACTTTTTAAAGTTATTTTTAATATCTTCATCCCATGTTATATGTGGTTGTCCTCTCTGTCTCTTATCTTCTATGATAACTAATTTTCACTTGATTGGCGCATCACTAGGTGTCCGATGTATGTGTCCAAACCATCTAAATCTACTCTCTCTAATTTTCTCGATCACTTCACGAACAATCTATCCCATTCGTAGTGACCCCCTTCCTTTCAAAAGTATAAAGATATAAGGAAGAAATCTGCTACTCTGATCGAAATGAGTAAACAGATGTTGTAACTGATGTTGTCTCTGAAAAATGAAGAGCATCACCCTAAAACACTCACGTGTATGTGTGTGCTTTTTTTTTTTCTTTTTTTTTTATAAGTAAAATTTTATAAAAGCGCTCAAAAGGGGAGCGAATCCCAAGAGAAAAACAAAAGGCCACAAAGGACCTCTAAGCCTTCAAAGAGGCCAAAAAATCTACAATTTCCTCTATAGAACTATGATCTCTCCGTGAAACCCAACAAAAAAGAGTGGAAAGAATAGAGAGTTTGAGAGTAGAAATCGACATTTCCTTCCCCTCAAAATATCTCCTATTCCTCTCGAGCCAAATACACCACCACACACAAAGAGGCGTAGCCCGCCAAGCATCCTGAATGTGAGCCCCCACAAGGCAACCTCTCTAAGACTCAATCAATCCTCCAATGGATCCAGGCATAACCCAATGAAACCCAAACAAGCCAAACATCAAATCGCAGCAGTCTCTGGCCATGGTGCAATGGAGGAGAAGACGATCCACAATTTCCTCATCCCGAAGGCACATATAGCAACGATTGACCACCACCTGATTCTTCCTCCTCAAGTTATCCTGGGTTAAGATCCTTCCCAGAACAGAGGTCCAAGCAAAGAAGCCCACCTTGAGAGGAGCCTTAGAGCGCAAAACAGCCTTCCAAGGAAAGCAAACTCCAGGATCATCTATGCAACATCTGAAAAAGGACCTAACCTCGAAACGCCACTGAGAGTTGGCTACCCAAGCCCAAGCTGCCCAACTATCTGAATCCCCAACCACAATCCTCTGGCGATACAACAATTCCAAAAAGCGAATGGCCTCCTTAATCTCCTAATCCAGAAAAAATCGCTTGAATCGAACATCCCAAACCAGTCTCCTGCTATCAAGATGATAACAGTTAACCACCAAGGCCTGCCTATCTGTAGCAATCCTGAAAAGTTGAGAAAAAGTGAGAACGAGAGGAGAATCCCCACACCAAACATCCTCCAAAACACTGACCTCCTACCATCCCTGATTCGAAAACGAACGTGTTTGGCAAAGTCATCCCATCCCTTTCGAATGACTTTCCATACCCCCACACCTCGAGGGCCATGCACCTCCAGAGAACACCACCCTCCTCTAGCCTCTCCAAAACGACTCGCAACGACCCTCCTCCAAAGCCAATGCCTCTCTACACCAAACCTCCATAACCATTTCCCAAGGAGAGCCTTATTGAAAGGCACCAGTTTTCTAAAACCCAAACCTCCATACCGAATCGGACTGCAAACCAGATTCCAACGAACCAAATGAAACTTGAACTCTTCACCTCTTCCCCCCTAAAGAAAATTTCACTGCAATCTCTCAATCCTCACCGCAACTGAAGAGGGAATCTGAAACAGAGAGATAAAATAAGTGGAAAGGCTAGAAAAGGTGTTCTTCATCAGAGTGACCCGACCTCCCTTGGAGAGATATTGCTTCTTTCAACCTGCCAGCCTCCTCTCAAACCTATCCACCACAGGGTCCCAAACCCCCACACATCTCAAAGGAGCCCCCAGAGGGGGTCTTAAGTAAGAGATGGGAAAGGACTAGTACGACAACCAAGAATATCAACAAATGACTCAATCTCAGGGACCTCTCCCACCGGCACCAAAACACTATTTCCAACATTCACCTTAAGACCAGAGACAACTTGGAACCAGATCAGAACACACCTCAGATATCTAAGCTGGGCCACATTCGCGTCACAAAGAACTAAAGTGTCATCCGCAAACATCAAATGGGAAACCTCCAACTGGGGAGCAGCATCCCTGACCACCCGGAAACCTCTCAAAAACCCCAACTCAACAATGTGCTAAGGGCCTCCATCACAAATAGGAACAAGAAAGGGGAGAGCGGATCCCCCTGTCTCAAGCCCCTCGAGTTACAGAAAAAAAAAAAACCCGTAGGAGCTCCATTCACAAGAATCGAAAAGCGAGCACTGGAAATACAAAAAAAAATCCATCTCATCCACCGATCACCAAACCCTATCCTCTCCACCAGGTAAATAAGGAAGCTCCAACTCACGTGGTCGTACGTCTTCTCCAAGTCAAGCTTACACAGAACTCTCGGGACCTCACTACACAAACGGAAATCCACACACTCACTAGCAATAAGAACTGAGTCCAAAATCTGACGGCTCCCACAAAAGCATTCTGAGAGTTAGACTGACGCCATCCAGGACTTTTCTTAACCTTGAAGCAAGGATTTTGGCAATCAACTTGTAGAGACACCCCACTAAACTAATAGGGCGAAAATCCCTAATATCCCCTTCCCCTCCCTTCGGAATGAGAACAATGAAAGTGGCATTCAAGCTCTTCTCAAAAGAGCCCTGAACATGGAAAGCATGAAAAGTACCCATCACTTCCCCTCTAACCACCTCCCAGCACTCCAGAAGGAATCTCATGGTAAAACCATCTGGCCTTGGGGCTTTATCCATATTACAGTTCTTCAAAGCAATCAAAACTTCCTCTTCAGAAAAAGGCTCCTCCAAACCCGAGCCCTCCTCACCAGAAATAGAGGCAAACTGAAGCCCTTAAGTAAAGGTCTCCAACCAACAGACTCAGTGAACAACTTCACATAAAACTCTGAAATGCCTTTGCAGACCTCCTCCTCCTTACAAAAAAGCTCCCCCTCCACCCGAATCCTCCCAATATGGTTGCCCCTTTTATGGGCATTAGCCAATCGATTAAAAAAATTCGTGTTACTATCCCCCTCCTTAAGCTACAAAGCTCTAGACTTTTGCCTCCACGAGATCTCCTCCATGATCGCAATCTCAACAAACTCTGCCTTACAATCCACCCTCCTAGCCTTCAAGGAGTCCACCAAATCCCCTTGACCCTCCATCCTGTCAATATCATCAATCTTAGCAAGGACCCGATTTTTCCTCCACACAAGATTCCCGAATACCTCTTTGTTCCAAATCTTGATACTTTCCTTCAAGAGACCAATTTTCCTGCAAGCGAATGACTTGGGGTGTCAACCACCCCAAATCCCTCCCACCAGAGTCGGACCTTTTCCAGAAAACCTTCAGCTCGAAGCCACATATTTTCAAATCTAAAAGGAGAACGCCTACTCCACAACCCACCACAATCCAACATCAACGGAACATGATCAGAGATAGGACGAGCCAAATAACCTGCATTACATCAGAAAACATCTCCTCCCACTCCCTGGACACAAGGAACCTGTCAAGTCGCGAAAGAGTAGGGGGAGAACGGCCGCTAGACCAAGTAAAAAGCCCTCCATCCAAAGGCAGATCAATCAACCTAAACTCATCAATAAACTCCGAGAAGGACTCCATATCTGAAGTCCACCTACCTCCCGTCGACCTCTCAAAAGGAGAACAAACAACATCAAAATCCCCTCCAACACACCAAGGAAACATCCAACATCATCGAACCTCCCCCAACTCCTCCCAAAGCAAATGATGCACACTGTCCTCTGTAGGCCCATAAACACCAGAAAAAACCCAAGGAACACCATCCTCCACCAAAGAAAGAACACATGAAACAGAGAAACTCCTAACATAAGAATCCACCTTAGACACCCATCTGTTATCCCACATGATCAGGATGCCACCCGAAGAGCCAATAGCATCCAAAGCAATCCATTCCACAAATCTCCCACCCCAAAGATAACGCACAATCCTATCCGACATCGAAACGAGCTTGGTTTCTTGCAAACACACCACATGACCTCCCCCTTTAAGAAATAACCGACTTCACCACTTTTCTCTTAACCAATTCATTGAGACCCCGGACATTCCATGAAAGAATTTGTAACTTCATAGAGAAATACCTGAATTAGCAAACCCTCCCCTCCTTCCACTATTTCTCTCCTTGGACCCCTTTCCTCCTTTCATAAGTGATAAAATCATTGGGACTCTGCAACAACATCTCTCCCACCCCATCCTGCCTTCTTCCCCTACCTTCCACCCTCTCCCTGACATGAGAATTAAGAACTTCATGGAACAATCTCATCGCCTCCTCCTCCCTCCCCTCGAAAGACACTCCCAACAAAGAGCCCACATCTATCCCCTTCTCCCTTACCCACTCCTCCTCCAAAACATTCACTCCTTCAGCATCAAAAGGACTTCTCATCCAATTCCCCTCCGGACGAACAACAGCTAAAAGAACAGCCAAGTCCATTGCCTGCCCAAGATTCTCCCACCGAACCAACCCCAAATCCCCATCAAGTGCAGAGCAAACAGCTCTCTCCCAATCATCAAAAGCAGAAGAGGAAAGGGAACAATTAGTCGTCTGTGTTTTAGGTTCCTCCTCACACTGAACAACTTTCGAAGCCAAAAGATCCCGAATTTCCTTCAACAAAACAATGGCAAAAGCATCATCAATCTTCACCCTCACATCCCGTCCCACACAAATCGTAACACCCTCACCATTAAGCTTAAAAAGCCGAGCGAGACCCAGCCTATTCACAGACCCATCGCCAGGCCCCACATCTGACTCAATCACCGAGTCACCTTCACCAACCGGAGCCAAAGAATTTGAAACAATGACCATTCCACCCTTCTCCAGCCCCGACGCCCTCTTCAGCCCCCCAACAGAAGAAGAAGAGGAAGAAGAGAATGAATGGAAAGAAGAAGACCCAGAAATGACAGTGGACTTACCCGGCTCAGGACCCGGCTGCAAAGGCAACACCCATTTCTGCTTATCTTTTCGTGTCCACCTTTTACGCAGTGCAGGAAGGAGGACTTTCTTCTTAGATAGACAATGACGTTGCATAGGCTTCCCTCGCCGATCATCTCTGCAAAACGCATTGAAAGAGCCAGAGGGAAGAGAAGAACTTTCGTCCACTGAGAAAGGCAAAGACAGAGGCCCAAACCTATTACTCAATCCAGGCCCAAAGCAAGAAGGGTCTAAATCCGGCCCACTTTTCGCCCAGAAATCCCACAAACTGAAACATCATTAAAAGGTTGGGAAACCGGCCCACAGACCATAGGCCCCTCACACAGCCCACCAGAAGATGGAGACACATCACTAACCACCAAAGCCCTATTCGCCGACCCAAGAACAAGCCCAACAACACGAGCAGGCTTCGGAGCCTTCCTAGCCCATGCGTATGCACGGAAGTTTGAAGAAGCATTTGAATTAAACTTAGATACAGCTGTATTCCACATAAAACGGCATTGGCCTGAGCACCAAGTTCAACCACGTGTATGGGTGAGGTTCCCCCCCCACCCACGCGCTTGCTGCACGTGGAGAGCACCACGGTGCCTTCATTAAAAATATATTTTTCTCTCAAAAATCTTTCTGAAAGCTCCAACAAGGGTGTAAAGTTCCTTCAAATATTACTAGGGTTGGAGATTAGAGAGGCTTAAATACCCTACAAGGTCCTCAAAATAGTTAGAAACATGTTTTAAAAACATTGTAGGACGTCTCAAGAAGTTTGGTTCTATAAGGAAACAAAATCTTACCAAAAACACAAAATCCCGCAACAATCAGGACAAGTGTGACCGGACAAAACTTTTTCTGAAGGTTCCAACCGAGACTTGTTGGAGTGGTCACCAAAAGTGCGACTAGTCGGACTCCTCAGGATTTGAAATTTTCAATTAAAAACATATTTTCCCTAAGTCCTAACCACCAAACTCAAAAAACCAAGTGTGCTCACTCATCACATATGTGTTCTAAGTGACATTTCATCCAATTCCACAGTATCGAGGCACCCGTCATTCAGCTCCAAAGACCGGGGCTGAAGATAAACCAAAAATTACAACTCAATCAACAAGTTTTGACACCGAAATTCGCCAACATAAAAACTAAATATCTCACATGGGTGCCACCCCTAATTTTCCTCTAACAATTTCATTAGCGACCCTGTCTCTTCTAGTAACTCCATTCATCCATTTTAACATCCTCATTTCTGCTACATGAAGACATTGTTCTTGTTTATTTTTTAGGGTTCAACACTCCACTCAATACAACATAGTCGGTGTAATAACAGTCCAATAGAATTTTCCCTTTTAGCCTATGTGTTATTCTTTCATCGCATAAGCTTGTCTCCATTTGGTTCAACCCACTCCAATTCTATTAGCTATATCATTATCTATCTCTCCATCCTTTTATAATCTTTCAGTTTTGAAGTGTTATCATTATATTATCAATGTCCGAATCTTTAATTAGATTTACACTAACATGTGGTTTGACCAATGATATGACTTTAGATTTTTTTTTATTTAAAACCTATACGACTTTAGATAGAGCACAGAGTAAAAAATATTGGAAAAGTTGTAATTGTTTTATGAAATTTATGAAAGACAAGAATTTGAAAAGAAGTTGGAAGAAAAGTAAGGGAACTCACATGTGAAAGTAGAATTTCTACTGGGAAATAAGGCTGCAGATACATAGATTGTTTTGGTCCTCCAGCAACAGTTCATAGCAAGCAAACCCATCAATAGCAATGGGTCGAAACCCTCTTCTATTCCAAATTTAACGACTTGGGTATCTGCTAGAAACACTTAATGCAGTAGTCAAAATAAATTAAAGAACTAATAAAAAATTAATCTTTAAGATAACAAGAGTAGATGAATAAGAATGAAACTCAGAGGAGCCAAAACCTGTGATAACCTCTGATGGGTGAGTTCTGAAATTAGAGCTTTTTGTCCACAAAGATGAGAAGAGAGCTGGAGCAGAGATGTCTAATGGAAAAGGTCAAAAAAAAAAAAAAAAAGGGGGATTTCCCAGAAATGGATACAATCATCAATTAATTTCATATTTCCCTCGGGTCTTGACCACTCAAAATTTGCCAAGTTAATCATCAAAGGGCAGTTTTAGAAGACCACTAAACCCGCAGCTGATTGAGAGCCACTAGTGGCAAGTGCAAGGCCTTTGCCTCCCGGTTCGGTTTGTTTTATCCAAAAAGGGTGCAAGGAGAAGAATATTATTCTCTCCCAAAGTAAATGTCCATATTTCTATTGTTTGTTGTCCCAATTTTTTTTTTTTTTGTTTTTTTTTTTTTTTGGATAAATTGTCCCAAAATATATATATTTTTTTGAAAGGTCACTATTTTTATTTTTTAGCATTACCAATTTATTATTATTATTATTTTTTGTAATAATTACCAATTTTACGTTATAACATTGAACTTATAAAAAATTCACTATGAACAAATTTGATAATTCATTCGTTATCAATATAATAAAAAAAATTATACATCAAAAAGTTAGATTCCCTAAAAGATAAATATATTTTTGAAAGGAAGGAGTACATGAATAGATTTTGAGGCTGACATATGCGCCCCAATGTGGCTTGAAGGTTAAAGTTTCAAGAAGGAACGTACAACCATTTCGTGTGCGATAAGACTATATACGTTTGCTCTTTGAAACCGTCAAATTTGATAATCGATTTTTTATTTATTAGGTGAATTTACGACTAAACATCTTTTTGTGAGGATGATACAATTTTGTATTTTTAAAAGAAAAATGATATGTAACCGTACTGTTGGATGTGATTTGAGAGTTGAGACCGAGCGTCAAATTCAGTATTAAAGTAATCACTTAAGCAAAATAATGACTAAGTTTATATTCACCTCATCTTGCGGACTCCTTCCTTGAGCAGTGGTTAGATTGCTCCCAGTTATTCTTAAGAGTCTGGCTTTAAACAATTAATTTCAAAAATTAAAGATAAATTTATGCAAATTTAATGAAAAATATGTCATCAAGTTAGTATGAATTTTTTAATAATTTATTTCAATAAGAAAAATAGATTATTAGATTATTAAGTGTAATTTAATAAGAAATAGCATTATAGTGATTTAATGAAATATAATTTAGGCGTTGGGTGCATTTGGTAACAAAATATGATAGTTTAGGAAGTATTATGTACAAAATATACTTTTAAGGGGGTTATTTGAAAAATCTAACATAGTTCAAGAGTAGTTTTTTTTTTTTTTTTTGGCAACTTTAACTATAATATATATATATATATATATATATATATATATATATATATATATATTCACCTCACCTCCTAAAATTCAAGAGTGGGGAAATATTCTGGGTATTGTCCTTTTTACAAGATGAGCAGTCACAGTCCACACACTCATTTTGCTTTACTTGGAACTTGGTGGCTTGGTTATATATGCCACTTAAGTCGGGGTATTTTGCAGAAGTCTGGATGGCAATCGTTGAACTAAACAGACTCTATCTTATAATCATATGGATTACCGTGTGAGAGTCCATGTTGGATAATGCTTATTGGAGTAGCAAAAAAAAAAAAAAAAGGATTCGGGCATCCATCATTACTCAGGTGATTAAGCTGTAATGAATTATTTCCTTTGGATTCATATTTGAAAGCATCTTTTTAGCATTACATAAAACCAAAGCAGGCATGTGTAATGATCTTACTACAACCAAAGAAATCAGAACTTGTAAATATTGATTGATGCTGGTCTAAAAATCATACAAATTATGTTGAGTTAGGATTGGAGGGGTTAAGTACTGATCAGTTGCTTAATGCTCGTCTTATGAACATCTGATCCACTAACCAAATGGAAAACAGATTAGATTAGCAGATTTTAAATGTAGTTTTGGGATATTTATGAAGGATTATAAGGTCTATTATAAATTTATAATGGTTTTTTTAATAATGCCTTTTAAATTGCTGAACAAATGCCAATGCAGCATTTGTCTCCTGATTTTTTGCAGGTTGGTACTTAGGTCTGCTAATGAGATCTCATAACCAAAAATAATAATAAATAAATAAAATAAAATACTAATGTTAATTTATTCATGTCCATTGTTAGGTCTTAGACAAGTCGATGCGTGATTTTATGGCTGAGAGAAATTGCAGAAAATATCTGGAATCAAGTGTCCTACGAACAGGGGGTAGCACCCAAATGCTAAGGGCGGTGTCCATGTTTGATGGTGAAAATGAGGCTAATACATGGTGAATATAAAGTCACAACCTTAGCTTTGGACACTTGGTATATGGTTGCCCCCATATTCAAAACATGACCACATATTTTCTTTCCTAAGAGTAAGGAGGACCTATAGATGATTTTCAAGAGCAAATTATGCTAAGAGAAATGTATAAATACCCCTGTAGGTCTACATTTCAAATCATCCAAACTAGAAACAACTGTATAATATCCTCTTCTGCATTAAAACAAAATGGCGAAACTCAATTCTCACTTCCTTTCTCTTGCACTCTTCTTCTTGTTCTTGTCTCCTTCATCTGCACACTACAAGGTCACTGAACCTTCTTCTGATCCTCCTGCTGCTGATCCTTTGTCTCCGTCTTCTTCTGATCCTCTTTCTCCATCTTCTTCTGATCCTCTTTCTCCATTGCCATCTTATGCCGATTCTCCTTTGCCATCTAATTCCGAGTCTCCTCCATCAACTTATACTGATACTTCTTCTAATTCCGATCCCTCTTCTAATCCTTTGATGGGTAAGTTCAAAGGCCTCTTCTCCAAAGTATTTGCTTTCGGTGACTCATACACTGACACTGGAAATGCTAACTTCATGGGTGGCGGCCCCCTGAGTGGCCTGATGGGTGGCCAGGGGGGAGGCATGGGTGGCCCCCTGAGTAGCATGATGGGTGGCAAGGGCCCCCTGAGTAACATGATGGAAGGCAAGGGCCCCCTGAGTAGCATGATGGGTGGCAAGGGCCCCCTGAGTAACATGATGGAAGGCAAGGGCCCCCTGAGTAGCATGATGGGTGGCAAGGGCCCCCTGAGCAACATGATGGAAGGCAAGGGCCCCCTAAGTAACATGATGGATGGCAAGGGCCCCCTGAGTAGCATGATGGGCGGTGGTATGGGTGGTGACATGGGCGGTGGCATGGGTGGTGGCATGGGTGATGCTATTAAACAAGGGTCCGATGCTATTAAACAAGGGATCAATAAAGGCCACAAGGTGGTTGATTACCTCTGTGATGCTTTTCAAATTCCCCACTTGTCACCCTATAAAGACGGTAAAGGAGATTTCAGTCATGGTGTGAACTTTGCATTTGGCGGTGGATTGCCAGGCCTTTCTGACCACTCTCAGCAGAATGACTCAATGCCTCACTCAATTTTGTTTCAAGGGGTAGCTAAGGCCTTGCAAACTCAGAAAGAATGGTTTCATGATTATGTCCAAAATATGGCATGCAAGGGGAAGGATGAGAAAGCCTGCAAGGAGGACATTGGAAAAGCCCTCTTCTGGATTGGTGCCACAGGTGTCAATGATTATACTCGGATTTCCAGTTTTAATATGTTTAACCTTCAGAAGCTTGCAGATAATTGTATTATTCATATCAGCCAACTTATGAAGGTATGCATAAAATAAACACAAATTTCATTCTGATGAATATATATATATATATATATATATAGAAGCTAACATAGCTTGTGTCATATGATAGGAATTGTTAAATATGGGTGCAAAGAACATTGTGGTTCATGGTCTACCACCAGTAGGGTGCCTTCCATCAGGTGTTTCACTATGTCCACTGAAAAATTTCGATAAATTGGGGTGTTCTTTGGCCATCAACACAGGAGTAATGATCCACAACAAAATCCTTCAAAGGATGATTGTGAAGTTTCATGATCAGTACCCTGATGCGAAAATCTTGTATGCTGATTACTGGAATGCATTCCTTAAAATTTTGACACATCCAAAAGAGTATAATTTCTTAGAGACCACCAAGGCATGTTGTGGATCTGGTGGTGGCCAAACCAACTTTAATGTGAATCAAATGTGCGGCGCGCCTGGCACATTCACCTGCAAGGACCCTAGCAAGTACATGAGTTGGGATGGGATCCATCTCACCGACGCAATGCATCAGCACATTTCTGATCTTTTCCTCAATCAGAACTTCTGCAAACCATCGTTCGCTGAGGCTTTCAAGAGTAAGATTGGCATGTAGATGTTTCATGTCCATTGTTGCCCTTTTTTTTCTTTTTAAAAATAAGTTACCCTGCTCCGGATGGCTTCATTCAGAGAGCAAGTGAATAAATCTCTGTCCCTAGAGAATTTTGTAGGTTAGTGACAATGTATGTCTACCTTATAGATTGTATAGTGCTGTCAGAGATCGATGTAGCTTGTGTAATGCTGTCAAAGACATCCATTGTATTAACTATTCTAAGGAATGTTATTTATAAAAGGCTACTATTGCTTTCTTTTCTATTAGTCACAAACCTTTGAGTTGGTGTATAGTGGACAAAAATGGACTTTTATGTGCTGCATCTCTTGTGGCAATGTTCGCATTTCAGAACCATTTTCCAGCTTTTGTTATTACTAATTACAAACAAAAGTGTAATATTTTTGAAGTGCCATTTCTTCCAGTGTTCTGATATAAAACTGCAAAGAGAAACATATTTATTACCATCTGTGTTATTCTCCTTGTGAAGCTATTCTGTCAGCTCGTGTTGGCAGCGCATGTTATTCACAATTCTCTTGTAGATGCAAGCATTGAGAACCAAATTTCACATGATGTCCTTTTAGGAGAATGATATCCACAAAACCCATATTTTATCTCCTTTAATTTGTGAATGGTAACCTTCGCTTCATCTTGGCATGCAAGAATCTTTTTGAGAACAAGGTCTCCTTCTTTGAATTGGAGAGGCTTCACCCTTTTTGTTGTAAGCCTTGGCAATACGACGTTGACAGTACTGGCCATGATAGTAGTGCTAGTGTTTCTTATGGTTCACAATACAATAGTGACTTGGGTTTGTTTCTCTCTGTTCGCTATAGTCCACTCCTTTAAATTGTTAACGGTAACTCCTTTAAATTGTTCTTAGACCCATGGTGGAAAGATAGGACTCCTAATCAAGCTTTTGGACACAATGTGGTTAAGACAGTTGAATCTTCCAAGGAATTACTGCATAAATGTGATCATTCACGATGGGAATTAGTCTAAGCCTTATTTTTTTGTTACCAGAAGCTGATAGCATTTGGAACCTTATATCTGCTACTTCAATTCAACAAAGGCCTGATGTTAATTCTTTAAAGAAAGGGATGTCTAGTTTCAAAATTTTCTGGAATCAGTGCAGGTTGCATTTTCCAAGGAAATATTGGGTTAATCTTATTTGGAATGGAGGTAGACCTGCTGCCAGTTGCACTAGGACTCTGATTCTGCATAATAAAATCCCTTCCACAGTCAACCTTCAAATAGTGATGTGAACTAGCGTGTTCAGGACGGGGCACACCTTTCCCAAACACATCCTACAAATAAAAATCTTTTCCCAAACCCGCCTCGCTCAGCACTGCATCGGAGTTGGGGTGGGTTCGGGGCGCTCCAATATACATATTTTTTAAAGAAAAACAATTCAAGTTTTAACTAATTTAAGATAAATTTTGCAAAATAATAATAATAATAATTAATTAAATTAAAGTGTAGTAAAATATTTAACAATTATAATAACAAAATTGTAGTTAAAAATTAAAATTATCATAGGAAATGAAGGGGGAAAAAAAAAAAAAAAAACTACAACTAATAAAATAATATTTATTATTAATTAGGCGGGTTCGAGGATTTGCAGGTTTTAAACTCTCTTCCCAAACCAACCTCTAACCCTATTAGGATGATTCCAAACTCGTCCCAATAGCGGTGGGATGGGTTAGATTAACATCCCTACCTTCCAAGGAGTGATTCTGTTGAACATCTGTTCTTTTCATGTCATTTTGCTTAAAAAATGTGGTCATGGATTGCTGATCTCTTTCACTGGAAATGGAGTCCGTTGGCTCTTTTGATCAAGTAGTACATTGGTTCATTTCTAGAGGCAATGAAAAACACCATAAGCTTTACAAGATTGTTTTTACAAATTGTAGTAGGAGAATTTGGTGGAATAGAAATCAAGTGCTGGGTGTTAGGGCAAGTTGTTGTTCAATCTGCTAGGATGGCTTTGTTTGAAGTTAAAGTCACCAAACATACATGACTATATGGAGGAGCAGGACTAGTTTCAATGCTTTTCAGATTGTATCTGCTTTTAATTATGTGTGTGTTCATTTTGTGTTGGTTTTCTGTTCTTTTTCTAGTCTTGGATTTAGTTTGTACACTTTGTTGCTAGCTTGGTAGGCTGTTGAATATCCTCTTGTTAGCTGGCTGTTCAGGCAGGTTTAATATAAATTTTTATTTAGGAAAAAAATTAAGGTTCTCCTAAAATCAAAATGGAATTATATGAAACATAACCATGTATATGGGTCAAATTGGTTGGCTCAATTCACACCATAATGGAGAATTCAGGTGTGATGGCAGCAAAGGGTAGAATGAGCTTCAATGCTACATCCTCAACAATTATGCCATGTCAAGGTTTCTTCGAGACAATTAATAAACTTAGGATAAAATTCCTTTCTCTTATTTTGTTTTCTTTTTTTGGTTTTGTTTTATTTGTTGGGGGGTCATGGCACAAGGAGTGCCTAGTTCCAAAGAGAATGGTTTATCAACAAATGTGATGTCCCACATTGCTTAGGGGAGATGTTCCTGGCATTTATGTGCCTGGAAACCCCTTAATTATGTAGACACGTTTGGAGAAAAACCGTGAAAAGTGTGCAAAGCGGACAATATCTACACAATTCGAGCAGGTCTTGACAGGTGGTCCCCACCCTTAACCATGCAGACCCTTTCTGGCTGACAGAACCTGCAGAAGAGTGGGTAGTTGCAAATAAAAGGGTACATCAACAACATTTTTTACCAGAGGTGATTTCGATCTTATAAGAGAGTTTTTTTTTTAGATTGGTACCTTGGTCTGCTAATGAAATTTCATAACAAACTAAAATACTAATGTTAATTTATTCATGTTCATTGTTAGGTGTTAGACAAGCCAACACATGATTTTTTGGCTAAGAGAAATTGCAGAAGACTGCCAGTTGCAAATAAAAGGGTGCATCAACAACATTCATTCCTTGAGCCTAGAGGTGATTCTGATGTTGTAACAGATTTTTTTGCAGATTGGTACATTTGTCTGCTAATGAAATCTCATAACCAAAATAAAATAAAATATTAATGCTAATAAAATAAAATACAACCTTAACTTTAGGAGATTCATGGTTGCCCATATTCAAAACAATGACCACATATTTTCTTTCCTAAGAGTAAGGAGGACCCATAGATTATTTTCAAGAGCAAATTATGCTGAGGAAGAGAAATGTATAAATACCCCTGTAGGTCTACATTTCAAATCATCCATACTAGAAACAACTGTATAATATCATCTTCTGCATTTTAACAAAATGGTGAAACTCAATTCTCACTTCCTTTCTCTTGCACTCTTCTTCTTGTTCTTGTCTCCTTCATCTGCACACTACAAGGTCACTGAACCTTCTTCTGATCCTCCTGCTGCTAATCCTCTGTCTCCATCTTCTTCTGATCCTCTTTCTCCATCTTTATCTGTTTCTGATTCTCCATTGCCATCTTATGCCGATTCTCCTTTGCCATCTCATTCCGAGTCTCCTCCATCAACTTATACTGATACTTCTTCTAATTCCGATCCCTCTTCTAATCCTTTGATGGGTAAGTTCAAAGGCCTCTTCTCCAAAGTATTTGCTTTTGGTGACTCATACACTGACACTGGAAATGCTAACTTCATGGGTGGTGGCATGGGCGGCCCCCTGAGTGGCCTGATGGGTGGCCAGGGGGGAGGCATGGGTGGCCCCCTGAGTAACATGATGGGTGGCAAGGGCCCCCTGAGTAGCATGATGGGTGGCAAGGGCCCCCTGAGTAACATGATGGAAGGCAAGGGCCCCCTGAGTAGTATGATGAGTGGCAAGGGCCCCCTGAGTAGCATGATGAGTGGCAAGGGTCCCCTGAGTAGCATGATGGGCGGTGGTATGGGCGGTGGTATGGGCGGTGACATGGGTGGTGGCATGGGTGATGCTATTAAACAAGGGATTAATAAAGGCCACAAGGTGGTTGATTACCTCTGTGATGCTTTCCAAATTCCGCACTTGTCACCCTATAAAGACGGTAAAGGAGATTTCAGTCATGGAGTGAACTTTGCATTTGGCGGCGGATTGCCCGGCCTTTTTGACCACTCTCAGCACAATCACTCAATGCCTCACTCAATTTTGTTTCAAGGGGTAGCTAAGGCCTTGCAAACTCAGAAAGAATGGTTCCATGATTATGTCCAAAATATGGCATGTAAGGGGAAGGATGAGAGAGCCTGCAAGGAGGACATTGGAAAAGCCCTCTTCTGGATTGGTGCCACAGGTGTCAATGACTATACACGGATTTCCGGTTTTAAAATGTTTAACCTTCAGAAGCTTGCAGATAATTGTATTATTCATATCAGCCAACTTATGAAGGTATGCATAAAATAAACACAAATTTCATTCTGATGTGTGTGTGTGTGTGTGTGTGTGTGTGTGTATTTGTAGAAGCTAACATAACCTTGTATCATTTGATAGGAATTGTTGAATATGGGTGCAAAGAACATTGTGGTTCATGGTTTACCACCAGTAGGGTGCCTTCCATCAAGTATTTCACTATGTCCACTGAAAAATTTCGATAAATTGGGGTGTTCTTTGGCCATCAACACAGGAGTAATGATCCACAACAGAATCCTTCAAAGGATGATTGTGAGGTTTCATAATCAGTACCCTGATGCGAAAATCTTGTATGCTGATTACTGGAATGCATTCCTTAAAATTTTGACACATCCAAAAGAGTATAATTTCCTAGAGACCACCAAGGCGTGTTGTGGATCTGGTGGTGGCCAAACCAACTTTAATGTGAATCAAATGTGCGGCGCGCCTGGCACATTCACCTGCAAGGACCCTAGCAAGTACATGAGTTGGGATGGGATCCACCTCACCGACGCAATGCATCAGCACATTTCTGATCTTTTCCTCAATCAGAACTTCTGCAGACCATCATTCGCTCAGGCTTTCAAGAATAAGATTGGCATGTAGATGTTTTTAATGCCCATTGTTGCCTCTTTTTTTTTTTTTTTTTTTTTTTTTTTTTTTTTTTTTCTTTTTAAAAATAAGTTACCCCGCTCCGGATGGCTTCATTCAGAGAGCAAGTGAATAAATCTGTAGGTTGATGGCAATGCATGCCTACATTGTAGATTGTATAGTGGATCAATGTCGCTTGTACAATGCAGTCAAAGACATCCATTGTATTAATTATTCTAAGGAATGATATTAATAAAAGGCTACTATTGCTTCCTTTTCTATTACAATTGTTTTTTTCCCCAAATCAGATACCTTTGAGATGAAGTGGAAGATGTTGAGTTGGTGTAGAGTGGACAAAATTGAACTTTTATGTGCTGCATCTCTTATGGCAATGTTGGCCTTTTATAACCATTTTCCAGCTTTGCTTTTTACTAAAAAAAAAAAGGTTTAATTTTTTTAAAGTGCCATTTCTTCCAGTGTTCTGATGTAAAACTACAACGAGAAACATTTTTATAACCATCAATGTTGGTTGTTGAATCAAATTTCACATGACGTCCTTTTAGGGGAATGATATCCACAAAAACACATATATAATTAAGGTTTTTATTAATGGTAAGTCTTTTAAATTGTTAATTGTAACCTTCGCTTCATCTTGGCATGTAAGAATCTTTTCGAGAACAAGGTCTCCTTCTTTGAATTGGCAAGGCCTGACGTTTTTGTTGTAAGCTTTGGTGATCCGACACTGTTAGTACTGGTCATGATGATAGTAGTGCTAGCATTCCTAATGGTTCTCAATACAATAGTGACTTAGGTTTGTTTCCCTCTGCTCGCTATGGTCCAATCCTTTAAATGTTAATGGTAACTCCTTTAAATGTTAATGGTAACTCCTTTAAATTATTCATTGACTTATGGTGGAAATGTAGCACTCTTATTCAAGCTTTTGGACACAATGTGGTTAGACAGTTGGATTTTCCAAGGAATTGCTGTGTAAATCTGATCTTTCACAATGGGAGTTGGTCTAAGCCTTGTTTTTTGTTGCCAGAAGCTGATGGCATTTGGAACCTTATTTCTGCTACTCCAATTCAACAAGGGCCTGATGTTATTTCTTTAAAGAAAGGGATGCCTGGTCTTAAAACTTTCTGGAATCAGTGCAGGTTGCATTTTCTAAGGAAAGACTGGGTTAATCTTATTTGGAATGGAAGTAGACCTGCTCCCAATTGCACTAGGACTCTAATTCTGCAACATAAAATTGTCAACTGATGTAGAACTGAATGCTAAAGCCTTTATGGCCCGTTTGGACCGCCAGAGGGCCAAACATTTGGAACCTTATTTCTACTACTCCAATTCAACAAGGGCCTGATGTTATTTCTTTAAAGAAAGGGATGCCTGGTCTTAAAACTTTCTGGAATCAGTGCAGGTTGCATTTTCCAAGGAAAGACTGGGTTAATCTTATTTGGAATGGAGGTAGACCTGCTCCCAGTTGCACTGGGACTCTAATTCTGCAACATAAAATTGTCAACTGATGTAGAACTGATTGCTAAAGCCTTTATGGCCCGTTTGGACCGCTAGAGGGCCAAACTGACATGTTGACAGATTTTTTGGATTGATCCCAAAGTGTGTGTTTTTTTACTGGAAACGGCCAACGAACAAGACTCACCACTATGCCGTGACATAACATGCTTTTTGGCGAAATACCATCGTTTAGGGCCTCAAAACGAGGTTTTTCGATCTGAAGAAAGCCTGTCGAATATTTCGGGATTTTTATTCATTGTCTAAATGAACTTGGATTGCATTCATATTTTATATTTAGTAGTTTCTTTCTTTATTTTTTTTAGATTTTTTAGAGAAACTTTAGGCTTATTTTCAGGTATTAGTATTCTTTTGGGATTAGGTTTCCTTATGTTATAAGGATTCACGTTGCAGTTAGTTTCCTTATGGATTAGGGTTTTCTTTCATTATAAATATGTGTAATACATAGATCAGAATCATTCATTCAATTATCAAATAATATATCAGATTTCTCTTAATTATCTTTTTGTTTTGTAGATTCAAAACACCCACCATATGGATTCAAGGTAACCTGTTCCTCGTGGACAAATTTATTACTTCCACTTACATCATCAACCTTCAAATAGTGATGTCAATGGGGCGTGTTCGGAACCGGCACACCTTTCCCAAACTCATCCCACAAATAATTTTTTTTTCCCAAACCCGCCTCATCCCGCCCTACATCGGAGTGGGAGCAGGTTTGGGGCGCTCTGATATACATATATTTTTAAGAAAATCAATTAAAGTTTAAACGAATTTAAGATCATTTTTGTAATTTTTTTTAATATAGTAAAATATTTAATAATTATAATAACAAAATAGTTGCTAAAATTTAAAATTATCATAGGAAATGAAGTAAAAAGAAAAACTATAGCTAATAAAATAAGTTTTATTCACCCCATCCTCCTCCCTCCCTACTCCAAGAGATTTAGGGATTTTAAACTCTCTTTCTACACCAGCCCCTAACCCCTATTAGGATGATTCCAAACCCATCCCAACCGGGTAGAACGGGTTAGATTGACATCCCTACCTTCAAAGAAGAGGCTTTATTGTAGCTGCTGTTTTTCATAAATGCATGCATGGGAGCAATTCTGTTCTTTTCATGTCAATATGCTCAGAAAATGTGGTCATGGATTTCTGGTCTCTTTCACTGGAAGTGGAGATCCTTTGACTCTTTTGATCAATTAGTGCATTGGTTAAATAAGAAAAATTAGTGCATTGGTTCAATTGTAGAGGCAATACAAAACACCATAAACTCTCCAAGGTTGTTTTTACTGACTGTACTTGGAGAATTTGGTGGAATAGAAATCAAATGCATGATGTTGGGCAAGATGATATCAATCTGCTAAGATGGCTGTGTTTGAAGATCTTGAAGTTTTGAAGTTAAAAGTTACAAAACACACATAAAACACACATGACTATGTCGAGGAGTAGGACTAGTTCGATGCTTTTCAGATTGTATCTGTTGTTTGTGTTTGTTCAATTTGTGTTGGTTTTCTGTTCTTTTTCTGGTCTTGGATTTGGTTTGTATGCTTTGTTTCTGGCTGCTTTAATAAATTTTGATTTAGGAAAAAAAATTAAAGTTTTTCTAAGATCAAAATGAAATTATATGGAACACAATCTTGTAAATGGGTAAAACTGGTTGATTCAATTCTGATGGCAGCAAAGGGTGGAATGAGTTTCAGTGCCTCTGAATTACATAGTCACATCCACAACCATTATCACATACCAAAGTCTCTTCAACACAACTTAATAAGCTTAGGACACAAGCCCTTATTGTTATATTTTCTTTTATTTTTTGGTTTTGTTTTATTCATTGGGGGTTCATGGGATAAGGAGTGCCTAGTTGCAAAGAGAAGGATGCATCAACAACATTCTTTACCAGAGGCGATTCTGATTCTGTAACAGATTTTTTGCAGATTGGTACCATGGTCTGCTAATGAAATCTCATGACCAAAATAAAATAAAATAAAATAAAGTACTAATGTTAATTTATTAATGTCCATTGTTCGGTGTTAGACAAGTCAGTACATGATTTTCTGGCTGAGAGAAGTTGCAGAAGAGTGCCTAGTTGCAAATAAAAGGGTGCATCAGCAACATTCTTTTACCAGAGGTGATTCTGATCTTGTAACAGATTTTTTGCAGATTGGTAACATGGTCTGCTAATGAAATCTCATAACCAAAATAAAATAAAATAAAATACTAATTTTAATTATTTATTGTTATGTCTTAGACAAGTCAGTACATGGTTTTCTTGCTGAGAGAAATAACAGAAAATCTCTACATGATGAATAATCTACTACTGCAGCTTAGTTTGGGCTGAAACTTGTAATCTCTTATTCTTCGCATAGTGAAATCTTTTGTCCGAACATTCACAATATACGGTAAATTTCACGCCGAACCGGGTTTGTATTCTTTGTCTGTGGCTTGTTTCTTGATTATGTTATTGGTTTGCTGTATTTGTTACAACAGAGTCAGATGGGTGAGAAAACCTTATGTTCATTCGTCTTTCGGTGTTTCTTTCCTTTTGCTTCTTTTCTCTTCTAGATTCTCTGTTCTGTTGTTTCCAAAATGTTGTTGCCTGTGGAAGCTTTCTTCCTTTGTGGTTGTAGTCTGTGTTGTTTTTTGAATGAAGTTCAATTAAGGAAAAAAAAAAAATTGACATTGCAAGAAAGATACTTGAATCAAGATCCCTACAAACAGGGGCTAGCACCCAAATTCTTTGGCAGTGTCCATGCTTGTTTGATGGTTAAAATGAGGCTATACATAGTCAATGTAAAGTCACAACCTTAGGTTTAGGACACTAATTGGTTCATGGTTACCCATGTTCAAAACAATGACCACATATCCTCTTTCCTAAATTATACTTCCCCGAGGAAGAGAAATATATAAATACCCCTTTACCTCTACATTATAAGTCATCCAAACTAGAAGGAACTTTATAAGATCTTCATCTGAATTTAACAAAATGATGAAACTCAATTCTCACTTCCTTTCTCTTCCACTCTTATTCCTCTTCTTGTTCTTGTCTCCTTCATCTGCCACCTACAACCATAAATCTCCTCCTCCTGCTCCTAATTGCCATCAACCTGCTACTCCTGTTTCGAACGATAAACCTTCTTCTCCTGGTCCGAGCCAAGGACCTTCTTCTCCTGTTCCTCCGAACCATAAACCTTATTCTCCTGTTCCAAGCAGTAAACCTCCTTCTCCTGTTCCTCCGAGCCATAAACCTTATTCTCCTGTTCCAAGCAGCAAGCCTCCTTCTCCTGTTCCAAGCAGCAAGCCTCCTCCTCCTTTTCCTCCAAGTTATAAACCTTATTCTCCTGTTCCAAGCAGCAAGCCTCCTTCTCCTGTTCCTTCACCTGTTCCGAACAATCAACCTTCCTCTCCTGTTCCTTCTCCGGTTTCTTATACTCCTACTTCTTCCTCTCCTTCTCCTCTTTCTGATTCCCCTTCTTCTCCCTCACCTCCTTTGGATGGTAGTTACAAAGGCTGCTTCTCCAAAGTATTTGCTTTTGGTGACTCATACACTGACACCGGAAATGCTCAATTCATGGGTAACATTGCCTCTTCTGGTTCTAAAAACCGGTTATCTAATGGCCGCATGGTCATTGATTACCTCTGTGATGCTCTCTCCATTCCCCCCTTGTCACCCTATAAAGACAGCAACGGAAATTTCGATCATGGCGTGAACTTCGCAGTAAGCGGATCAACA